GTTTTCTCTTTCTTTTCCTTTCTCCCTCCCTTCCTTCTCTACTTCCTTCCTTCCTAGTCTCCATCCTCTTCTTCTTGGAACGTGGTCACTTTCTTACGTAAGGAAGAAGGCTGAAAAGATAGGAAAAGGGCCTCTGACTTCCTGAAGGAAGAAGTCCTTTTGATGTATATTTTGAGAGTCCCGCTAACATCCAAAATGTGCCACTTCTTTTTTCATGTGTTCCAGAAGGAAAGGTTCCTCCTGCCCCCATTTTCAAGAAAATAAGACGCACCAATGGCTGCAACCTTGCAAAAAGCATGGTCAACCTTTACACAACCACTGAAAGTAAGTAACAGTGCCCCAATCTAGGAGAGGGGGGAAAAGTGTGGACTTGACCACTGGAGGGAGACAAATCTAAAGAGAAAGATGCAATAAATAGCTATTTATTCTTTGCTCGTCCCTCCTCGCCCCCTTATGCTTTTAAGACGTGCCCTAAACTCTCTCACGGTTGAGGAGGGGTGGGAAACAATGCACAAAATTAAACAGCTGCCGTCTGTTCAAAAGGCTGGGTCATTGATTGCAGTGCCTTGGTACTGGGCCTGAATGGGATTTTTGCAAACTTGAAAAGTGCCTGCCCCAGGGAGGGGTGAAAGACTACAACTCCCAGCATTCTCAGCCAAGATATTTCTCCCCCAACCGTCCAGTGATTTTGGCCTTTGGGGAATTATGATATTTTTGTCATTTCTGGAGCGAGGCTTCTCGCAAGCAATGTCTTATTAACCTTGCAACTTCGCGAAGGAGAACATTAAAAGCATGTCTATTTTTGTTCCTAGCTTACACCAAGCCTCAGGTGCTGAGCCATCAGTATCTTGAGCCTGAAAGAGCCAAAGAGCTGAGCAGATCCTCGCCTTTCCTCCTCTCTGAGGTAGGTTGATATTTGATTACTTTCACTGTTGTTCTAGTAGATGTTTTTATCATCATCATCATCATCATCATCATCATCATCATCATCATCACCACCAATAATGTATCTTTCCTCCTGAATCTCAATTTTAATCCTCAGACGGCAACTTGTGAGGTAGGTGAATTGAGGGATTAGACTGAAGATATGTCTGAAGGTGGATTTAAACCTCAGGCTCAGTGGTGAAATTCAAATTGTTTTACTACTAGTTCTGTGGGCGTGGCATGGTGGGCATGACATGGTGGGCGTGGCAGGGGAAGGATACTTCAAAATCTCCATTCCCTCCCCACTCTGGGGCCAGCCACAGGTGGCATTTGCCGGTTCTCTGAACTACTCAAAATTTCTGCTACCGCTTCTCCAGAACCTGTCAGAACCTGCTGAATTTCACCCCTGCTCAGACTCCCTTTTCCCAGTCAGTTTCATAAACAGTTGCCTCATGTTGATTTTCTGGATTGAGGTGAGAGCTTTGGGTGCTTCTTAAAAGCAGCAACCAGGATGATTAGGGGACTGGAGGCTAACGCATACGATGAACGGTTGCAGGAACTGGGCATGGCTAGTCTAGTGAAGAGAAGGATCAAGGGAGACATGATAGCAGTCTTCCAATATTTGAGGGGCTGCCAGAGAGAGGAGGGGGTCAAGCTATTTTCCAAACCACCTGAAGGTCAGACAAGGGATAATGGATGGAAACTGACCAAGGAGAGATTCAACCTGGAAATAAGGAGGAACTTTCTGACAATGAGAACAATCAACCCATGGAACAGACGTTGCCTTTGGACATTATGGGAGCTTCATCACTGGAGGCTTTCAAGAAGAGAGTGGACTGCAGTCTGTCGGAAATGGTGTAAGGTCTCCTGCTTGAGCAGAGGGTTGGACAAGATGACCTACAAGGTCCCTTCCATCTTTTAATCTGCCCACCCATCAGGGCTCAGGTGATCCAGAACATCTGAAATAATATGATAACGAAATCCTTGTGAGGAGAAACAGTGACCGGTTCATTAATCAGGAAGTTCTGCTAATGGGACAGTTCGGTTTTTGAAACGCTGATGTGGCCCAAGACCAACATCACCTTGCAGTTCTGTTGGGGATCCACCCTTATATGGTTGTAAGTTTCATATGGTGCCAGATTTAAAGTCTTTTTCGATATGCTTTGCAGACAGAATCAGACACAGCTTCGGAAATCAGCTTCCAGTTCAACAGGCACAAAAAGACATCAAGCTTGGGCAGCCATTCCTCTGACATGGCGTCTGTTTCTTCGGTAGGTTCTTGAAATGTTGCTTCTGCAAGACAGTTGTGGGTGGGGGAGAACCCATCTTAACTCCTCCAAAATTATTCTAATTCTTTTCCATCCTCTTCTCACCACCCTGATTATTTAAAAGCTTCCTGATATCCTCTCTGAGACATTGGTGAAAGTTCATAGTCTTAAATGTCAAAACTCACTTAACAAATTTCTCACTTCACAACATAAAATTTTGGGCTCGATTGGGATTGTCAGTTGAGGAGTACCAGTTAGCTGCATTAGGAATTACTGATTTACTAGTTTCTGATTTTCAGATTAGAATTGTATGTAATGTTCTTCCTTTGTGCCCGAAGTCTTAATTACAAGAGATGCAGGGGTGGGTTTCTCGTCCCGTTCCAACCGGTTTGGTTGGAATGGGGCCGGCGGCGTCCTTGTGCACGCGCGCAGTGCGCGCATGCGTACTAGCGTCTGCGCGACGCTCCAGCTGCTCCTGGATGATCGCACAGGCGCTGTA